TTAGAATGAGGAGATTTACCACTCTCTGACTAGGTAGACTAAAGAATTTAGCTCCATAAAGAACGGAGATGTAATACCTTTGTCTCTTGATTAAGGAGACATTTTCTACTTCAAAAGAAATTGAAGCGATGAAATGTTTTACTTCTAAGGTTCCATTCAATATCATATATTGATTGAGTAATTCATTGCAATTGAAAAATTGTTGCTCAAGTTTCTTGGTTTTCTAAGTCCGGCTAAATCTAATAGAAAAGCTATTTTGAAGATGTGATAAAAGCTACCAATGACCTTATCGAGCTAGCTCGTTGATCGGTTTTCTTTGATCTTAAACATTTACACTGCTGATTAAAATGAATGTAAGTTAAATTACCCATAGTACGATATGATACCTGTACTTTTCTTGAATACTGATTTACTAAACACAATTTTATGGAAATAACAAGGTTAGGACTCTTAATTTAATGGAAATAGGCTCAAGGACATGTAAGCAACCTCCACTTCCAACCAAGAGGTTGTGAGTTCGAGTCTCCCCAAGAACAAGGTGGGAAATTCTTGGAGGGAAGGATGCCGGGGGTCTATTTGGAAACAGCCTCTCTACCTCAGGGTAGGGGTAAGGTCTGCGTACACACTACCCTCCCCAGACCCCACTAAGTGGGATTATACTGGGTTGTTATTGTTGTTGTTGTTGCTCAAGGACATATAAATAGCCTTCTGTTCTATTCTATATGGAAACATTTCTCATAATCTGCTGAGATAACTCGAGTAATTCTAATTTGGAAAATTGATCCTACACAGTGACTTGGCATGAAGGACCAAACAAGTTGTCAGATATTGCAGTAAATTTTATTTCTAACTGTACTGTTGTAGAATTCAAACTCTCAATTATCCTGTGTTGACAATTACCTGTTGTTATCAATTTGATTTCTAAAGATCCTGTGTTTTCTATCTTGTCATGAAAAACCATGGGGCCTATTGATCTTCAATCACAATGGCCTAAAATCATAAATACTTGACAATGAGTTAGACAGCAAAACCATGTGATACTTCATCTGCTATTGTCAATCAACAGTGCAACAAATGCCTCTTCACCACTGAAATTTGAAATATGAGTGACTTGTTTTCTCTTATAGTACTGACGTAGATGGACACAAAATTTGTATATGGGGTATGTTTTAGTCCTAATGGATAGTGTTCCAGACACAAATCATCATAAGGACAATCCATTCTTATGCAATTGATTCTATGAGATCCTTTGTTCCATGCATAAGAAAATGGTAGGACATATTGTTCTTGAACTTATATGAGCTGAAGTAATTAATCATGTCAATTAGTTGGAAGGAAGGACCATGTGGTTATTGGTATGTCATTGTCGTTCACTGATGCTCAACCCAAATGGCTCTTTACCACAAAATCATGTTTTTTTTACTTTCCATTTGCTTATATAAATATGTTTTGAGAAGTTTCACACCATCACAGCTCCCCGCAAAATTAGAGAACTACTCAAAGCTTTCAGAATTTTAGTATTTCTTCTCTTCATCGTTTGCTCATCTTAAATAAAAAATCATGGCTATCCGTGTTCCTCGTATAGTCAAGAAGTCCTCAACATCCCTTAGTGTTCCCAAGGGCTATTTTGTTGTTTATGTTGGGGAGAAGCAGAGGAAGAGATTTGTAATTCCCGTAGCATACTTGAGCCAGCCTTTATTTCAAGATTTGCTAAGTCAAGTTGAGGAAGAATTTGGCTTCAATCATCCAATGGTTGGTGTCACAATTCCCTGCTCAGCGGACATCTTCATTGGCATCACTTCTCAGTTTAGGATTTAAGAATATGGTTGAGATCTTTTTTTCCTTTTAGGCCTCACAATTTTGTATAGCAAAGCAGGAGATCCGTCTTTGTACAATTGATTAGTTAGGATCTCAATGAGGCATAGCATCATAAAGGTTGGTGTTTTTTGACTCACAAAGATTATAATTCAAAAAATACAGATGCGACATCCATTTTTCTCACTAAATGTATCCAAATGAAATTTATCTTGAAGATTTGAATAATTCAGCTTCTCCACTTTGCTAGGATATAATTTGGAACATTGTCTGATTTAACTTATATACGCTGACAAATATAAATAACTTTTACACCATGTGTGTCATAGGCGGCTCAAGGGTAAGGCAGCACAAGCAATGACTTAGGGCCCCCAAAATCCCTTGGTAGTAATTTTAATTTTTTTATATAAAAATTGAGTATCTTAATGTTAAAAAGTAAATAACTTAATACAAGAAGGAAAAGAAAATTTTAATTTGTGACTAGCGCTGATAGTTGAGATTTTAATAATTTAAAGGGTATAAAGATATCTTTGATTTTTTTATTTAGTGGGTAAAATTTGATTTTTTATTTAAAGGGTATAAAGATATCTTTTATTTTTGACAAGAGTGGGTTGCTTTAGTGGTGAGCACCCTCCACTTCCAACCAAGAAGTTGTGAGTTCGACTTACCCCAAGAGCAAGGTGGGAAGTTCTTGGAGGGTGGGAACCAACGTTAAAGGAAATATTACAAGTAGAAGATAATACTATAATCCGTATACTCAATAAGATAACAAGAATTAATTTTTGTTAAATACCTATCTTATAACAATTTTGCATTAGGATCAATAATGTATTAAGAGAATCTAAATGGATCGGATTAGCTATATTATCATTTAAAATAGTTAAAAAAAATAGATTTCAAACAAAAATATACAAATTTATTTTTTTAACAAATTAGGGCCCCTCGTCGAGATTTTGCTTTAGGCCACCAACAATGTTTGGCCGCCCCTGACGAGTGTATTTTAACCTCCTGTCTCTTTAACCTGATGGACAATGGTTTAAGTTTCTCTCTTTCAACTGCTTTGTGTTCTTTCACTGGGATCTTTGCATTTGAATTGGGTTAGCAGATATGTTATTCCAAAAGGTTCATGACACGGAAACTGATACTCATTTCTTTCTGCAAATTTGATGTTTGAAATATATGACAATGTTGAACCGGTAAGTTAGCTGCTCAAAGGGCAGTTCTTGGACTAAAAAATGAGTGAGAAATATCATGTGCTTCCCTAAAGGGGTGCGATTGACTGATTGGTTGACGAGTGAGAAAAAAAAATTCCAAGATTTTTCCTCAACAAATCTGATTCTGACCATAAAAATATCATGTGCTTCCCTAAAGGGGTGCGATTGACTGATTGGTTGACGAGTGAGAAAAAAAAATTCCAAGATTTTTCCTCAACAAATCTGATTCTGACCATAAAAATATCATGTGCTTCCCTAAAGGGGTGCGATTGACTGATTGGTTGACGAGTGAGAAAAAAAAATTCCAAGATTTTTCCTCAACAAATCTGATTCTGACCATAAAAATATCATGTGCTTCCCTAGGTTAGTTCTTTTTTAATAAGAAGAAAGGGGAAACGCCGTTGCCAGGGATCGAACCCGGGTCACCCGGGTGACAAGCGGGAATACTCACCACTATACTACAACGTCTTGCTTGTGCTTAGATTGGTGATAGACAAAACTTATAAACTTATGAAGTACCAAAAAAGGAAAAACTACTAGATAAAAAAACACAATACACCAATTTGTATTCACAATCTTTTCTTCTTTTCGGGTACTTCACTACTAGCGAAGCATGGAAGTTAGTGACCGGAAAATAGTTTCTTCGCAGGGAATGGTGATGCCCATGTCGTGATCAAATCCAAATTCTTCTTCAGCGCATTGGAGGAGGCACTGAAACTCAGGGTGAGTCAAGAAAGAAATTGGTACGATGTATCGAGTTCGGTTCTCTCCGACGTATACTGCAAAATGTCCTTTTGGTACGTCAATGGAAAGTCCATATTCTTCATCATAATAATCCTGCTTCTTACCCAAACTCAAACACCTTTTCATAATTTGTTTCAACATTGTGGCTTGTGGTAGCTTGTTTAATTTTCTAATGGCCATTTTTTTAATATATTTTCTCGAAGAAATCTAAAGAAGGTGGAGAGCTTTAGGAAGAAGAAGAAATACTAATAGTACTTATTCTTTGTGTTTGAGGGAAAGAGATGCTACTAAAGAAGTAGTGTTGTTTGGGGTTAGAGGGATATGAAGTGAAACTATTTATAGAGGAAAACCACATCTTTTTTAATCCCTTGTGTGTGTTGAAGTTTGGCAAAATGCCAAAGTCCCACATTGGTTGGGAGTTAAGTTTGGGGGGGATTTTTCCCCTATAAAAGAAGGCCTAATGTTTAGGATTGAGACACACCTCTCATTTGCCTTCTCATCTGTTTAAGGCATTTGTATCTTCTCTCTTTAGTATTATTTCACTTGTATTTTTGGAGTGGAATAAAATATTGGTTGTGTCCGAGGAGTAGGCAAAATTAGCCGAACCTCGTAAATTCTGGTGTTTCCTTTATTGTTGTTTTATTGTCTTATTTATTATTTGGTGGCTGTCATAATTTTTGGTATAGTAGTTGTGACTTATTCACACTATATACATTTGGCTTCCGCAACAGTGTGATTATTCTGTGTCCTACCACAACAAGAAAATGAAGGAGTTTTCAAGGGATTAGAATCTGTGAAAACTTGTACTAACACAATTTATAAATCACTAAGTTCTAGACAGCTGATGCTGTATCTCATTCTAGATTGTTTTTATCAAAAACAACTATTTTGGGTTAAGAGTAGTCATAGGCAAATGGATAATTCTAAGTGGAGTTGAAAGATTCAGTGAACAAGTTCATTAATTAAACCGTATTTCTCGATGAATGGAAGGAATTGTACGACTAAAACTAGATAAGCACATTTATTCCGTAGATTTCGTACTGTCCAATAAAATTTCTTTGAGCATTCCATTTATATTTTTGAAGAAACCAACGTATTTTTAAACGAGAAAAACAATATTATATCTATATAATATTAGACAACCAACACATTGATACTTGAATGATACTTATAATATTTTAACCAACAACAGGTTGTTCGAAAGATATGATGCTGTATACAAGAAATTACCAGTCAATTAGCATTATTTGACTCTCTTTTTTCACTCAATTAAAGATTATCATCAATAAACATCAATGAACGAGTTTGTATTCACAGAGGTAATGAGTACAAAAATAATATAAGGTTTAATTGAAGCAGGGGAAAACGTAACTGTAGACTTCTAACATGTAAACAAAAATCTCAAAAATAAAAGTTTCCTTATTCCAAAACCCAATTCCACTGACTCCATGAGGTTCCCTGTTGAATATTTTTTGGACGGTCAGTTTTGCGATATCTTCCCCAAAATATTTGTAGTCTGAGATATCATTAGTAATTAACTTCCCCGTATCTAAGTCATAACAACATAAAGATTCCTTGTCCTGCCTCACAAAGAACAATATAGAATTGTCAGGGAAAGTAGAAAATGTCATTAGCTCTTTATGATTCGGTTTCAAGAATCGCAGCTTGATAATCCGATTTCTTTCAGCCCATTTCAACTTTCTGCAATCATCTAACACCAAGACATGGAGCTCATCCTTTACTGGTTGAGCGAATGAGAGCCGGCCATTCCAATCCAAGAGATTAGTGTTGCTACAACTATCAATTAGATTAAAAAAGTGCCCCTACACATGCTAAAAAAACTAATTAAAAGAGTAAGAGAAGAAACCACCACCTCTAGAGAAAGTAGTATGACCTATGTTGGTCTCATTAACCATATCCAAAACATCAACTTCAATGTAAAGATCATCATCCTCCGTTTCAACGTACCAAATGCAATAAGCAACCTCTTTTCCAAAGAAAATATCAATTCTTTTCCTTTTTCGGACATCTCGTTCACCATTCAATAAGTTAGGTGGTGGTACCTTAACGACTCACCAACAATAAGTAGTTTGATCACTCCCAATCCCAAGAGTGAGAATTTCATAACCGAGTGAATATTGAATTTTGATCATTTTCACGAACAGAAACCAACTTGACAGCTTGGTTAGATGGAACAAACTCCAAGGCAATGCACAAACTAGGATTTTGTGGATTCGGATAGCAAGGTTTTGGCGCGATACAGGGCATCGTATGCGATATCTCAACGAATGAGGAGGAGGAGAATCAGAATCGGAGTTAGAATCAGAATCAGAACTAAAATCCGAATCAAAATCTGAATCTGAATCTGAATCAGAACCAAAATTAGACATAGTTTGCTCCAAAGTAAGCCTTTACTACTCTTAGCAATCATGATAAAGTATTCTCCTTTCCTGTCTTGAAATGTCATCTTCTTCAAAGAAGCTATCCCCCAAGGCCAAACCACTGCAGATTGAATTTTTGAAAAAAATGAGAGAGAAATGAGGGTGCATAAAAAGGAAATTCCAAAGCTTGCAAACACTTTTGAATTTGAACAAAGGTGAAAGTGTCAAGTAGCTCAATATGTGAAATTTTATTTCATCTGGAACCGTCCTTGCTGATTTATTATTATTTTCCTGGAACTCCATGAATTTAAGATGGTTGATTTTGTTTGCTTCTAAAAGGTCAATTGAGAGAAACCGAGTAGAGACAGATGCAAGCATAGATAGATAATAGATAGATAGATAGATACCAGAAATAATTAAATGTATGGGCATATTTTTTTATTTGTAATAGCTTTTGGTATCCCCAAACCAATAAAGAGATTCAAGAGTGAGTTTACAGAGAACTACATTATCTATTACATTGAGATTCTTAAAATACAAGATGGAGGAGCAAGGTTGCTCAGGTACAAAAGGAAAGAAGGATCCTGAAGGATCGCCAATCAAAGATATATATAAGAAAATAAGGATTGTAATCAGAAAAAATAAATTACAGAGTAATTAAAAAAGATTACAGTGAATCAAATATAGAAAAAGATTGTGTTGCCTTATTATGTCCCCACAAGATAGGCGGTGACTCGACAACGCCAATCTTGGATCGATGACGAAGAAACACTGTAGTTGATACCACCTTAGTAAGAGAATCAGCAAGCTGAGATTCAGAAGGAACATGATGAACAACCAGTGTTTTGTCTCGGACCTGCTCTCGTACAAAATGATAGTCAAGAGCTAAATGCTTCATTCGGCTGTGAAAGATTGGGTTTTGACTGAGAAAAGTGGCTCCTAGATTATCACAACAGATTGTTGGAGTGTTGGAGGTAGAGAAATGAAGTTCACTCAAAAGGTTGACAATCTAATTAGTTTCTGCAGCTGCATTGGCAATGGCCTTATATTCAGCTTCAGTGGAGGAGCGAGCTACTGTTCGTTGCTTCTTAGAAGACCAACTGATAGGTGAGCCTTCAAGGAACACAATGTAAGCACCAGTGTAGCACCTTTAATCTGTATTTCCACCCCAATCAAAGTCCGAGTAAGTAATGAGATCAAACAGGGCACGAGGAGCAAGATAAAAAGAAAGGGTAGATGTAGCCTTGAGATAGCGCAGAACACGTTTGGCAGCTTGCCAGTGGAGGTGAGTCGGCTGGTGCATGAACTGTGAAAGCCGGTTAACAGCAAACGCAATGTCAGGTCGAGTGATAGAGAGGTATTGAAGAGCACCTACAAGCTGACGATATTGCTTTTGATCTGTAGGGGCAGATCCATCTGCAAGCTTAAGTATAACAGAGGTTGCAAGAGGTGTAGTAACACCTTTGGCATCAAGCATATTGAACCGTTGAAGAAGATCAGTAATATACTTCTTCTAGGAGAGATAAAGACCTGTGGTAGTTCGACAAACTTCAACACCAAGAAAATAAGTGAGTGCAGTCAAGTCTTTGAGTGAGAAGCGGAGAGCAAGCTCTTTGTTGACTTGAAGTATCTTGGTGCTGGATGAACCCGTTAAAATAATATCATCTACGTACAAGAGTAGGAAAAGAACAAAACCTGGACCATGCATTGTAAATAGAGAGGTATCTGATTTGGAACCAACAAACCCAATGGAACATATGAAATTCTTAAACTCAATATACCAAGCTCGAGGTGCTTGACGAAGACCATAGATTGCCTTGTGAAGTCTGCAAACATGAGAGGGGTACTGATGGTTCACGAAACTAGGGGGTTGTTTCATGTAAACTTCCTCTTCTAAAGTGCCTTACAAGAAGGCATTATTGACATCAAGCTGAGAGAGAGGCCACTTGAAATAAGTCGCAAATGTGAGAATGAGGCGAATGGTAGTAGGCTTGACTACGGGACTGAATGTGGAGTTGAAGTCAATGCCAGGGCGCTGATGGTTTTGCAACTAACCGAGCCTTTAAACCATCAATGTTGCCATCTGCTTTTTGTTTGACCCAAAATACCCACTTGCACCCAATAACATGTGTAGGGGAGGGAGGTACTAGACTCCAAGTTTCGTTCCTCACAAGCGCACCAACCTCTTCCTACATTGCATCTCACCATTCTTTAGATTTGGATGCCTGCTTATATGTGTGAGGAGTGATCATGGAACCTGTGGATACAACTAAAGCTGAGTAATTAAGAGGCTTCTTTGGTTTAAAGATGTTATGCTGAGAACGAGTAACAATACGAGCAGGTTCAGGAGTAGGGCTACTTACCTGCTGCAAAGGAGAGATGGAAGCATCTTCACTCAATGTCGGAGTAGAGGTGGACTGTGATTGGACTGGATACTCATGAGAACTGGTGGTTGAAGACAAACTAGAAGTAGCAGGTGGTGAAGTGATGATGTCTGATGGCTGCAACAGAGGAGCTGACATGACAGGGGGTAGAGAAAGGTCATGTGAAGTGATTGTAATATTGTTCTGATCATGAGAGGTAGGGGGTGAGTGATCAGTGGGTACAACATCAAGCCATATGTGGAGATTAGATCCAGTTAGCCTTGGTAAAGAGGAGAACATAGTGGCAAAAGGGAAGTTATTTTCTAGGAAAACAACATGGCGAGAAGGAAAAGCTTAGAGGTAGAAGGATCAAAACATTGGTAGCAATGATATTTGGTGGAATAGCCAAAAAAGACACATGGTTTGGATTTTGGATCAAGTTTATGGTTAGTATAGGGACGTAGCCAAGGATAGCACAATCAACCAAATATGCGAAGTGATTTATAATTTGGAGGGGTATGAAACAGAGATTCATATGGAGATTTGCCTTGTAGTATCGGCATGGTCATTCTGTTTATAAGATAGACAACTGTTGAGCACGCGTAAGGCCAGTATGCTAGTGATGTGGAAGCTTGATGTAAAAGAGTCAAAGTTGTTTCCATAATATGACGATGGCATTGTTCAGCACTACTAACTCTTTGAGGAGTGTAGGGGGGTGAGAAAAGGTGTTGAATTCCCATATCTGAAAGTGTTTTTGTGAGACCCTCATATTCTCCACCACCATCAGAATAAACAGTAAGAATTAGAACACTAAAATATTTTTAACAAGCAATCTGAAGTTGATAAAAGTTGAAACAACATTAAATTTCCTTTTTAAAGAGAAAAACCATATGTATTTGGTGAAATGATCCACAAAGATAACATAGAAGCGAAATCCATGAGAGGATGTGACTGGAGAAGGTCCCCATACATCAGTAAATAGTAGTTCTAGCGGTCTTGAACTTTTTAAAGTCGATTGTTTAAATGGTAAATGGTGACTTTTATTACAAAAACAAGATTTACAATGATCTTGATAAGAATTGAAAATGGGCATTTAAATTAGGAGACAATTGACTTTAGAACTTTTAAATGGGGGTGACCAAGACGACGATGCCAAAGGGTGAACGAGGAATTGTTGGCAGAAGAAGCAAGATAGGTTGTTGGTGGTGGCGAGGATCCAGTCCATTCGTAAGTCTGACCTCTATTCGGGCCTTGAGCCAAAGGTGTTCCCGTGGTCAAATCCTTCACAATAAAGAAAGTAGGAAAGAACTCAACAGATGTATTATTTTGCTCGCAAAATTGAGGAACAGATATTAAATTGCGATGAATGGAAGGAGCACATGAAATATTTTTCAAAACAAAGTTTCGAGAAGTAGAGGGAAGAGTAGTATGTCATGTATGGGAATTTTTAATCCCATTACCATCACCAACGATTACATTATTGGTACCAGTGTAGTCTGAGTAAGCTTGCAGGTTCTGTGTGTCAGAAGTAATGTGGTGTGACGCCCCAGTATCCATGACCCAATTAGAATTTTTTGATGATCCCTTAACTGAAACGTTGGCCTGGGGATCATTTTCATTATGAGAGCGTGACCGACAAACCTTGGCAATATATCCAAATTTCTTACATAACTAGAATTAAACTCGAGGTTTGTTGCTGTTGGAAGTGGATGAGCGCCAATTCTGCTGGCGATTGGAGTTGCCAGTAGATTGATTACGGAGCCAATTGTTGTTTTCATTGGAAGATTGTTGGTAGTTCCTTTGGTTGTTATTGCCATTGTAGTTGTTACTACTATTATAGTTGTTCTGTCATTGTGAATGGTGATTTTATTAGTTGGATATTTGGGTATATTGGGTTGTGATGGCAAAAGATTCTTGTCGATGATGAAGGAAAACTTCATGACTGCTTAGCTTGTCAAAAAGCTCTTCAAGAGTGATGGGTGTGTCTCTGGCGCGAATAGCAGCACTCATCTCATTGTATTCAGGACCAAGGCCACTAAGAACCTTGATCATTAGGGCAGCACTATCAATAGGGGATCCAACAATGGCAATTTCATCAGCAAGGGCACGTATCTCATTGAGATATTGAGCGACGGGCTTGGTACCTTTAACAAGACGATTGAGAGAGTCTCGGAGACCATAGACTCTTGTTTGCGACTTGTTTGTGTACTGTTGAGTGAGTTTTGTCCAAGCAACATAGGCATTGGGCGCCGTGGCAACAAGGGGCGCAATAGTGGCATCAACTGACATCATGATGGCATGTCGGATAAGGCTATCTTGTCAGAGCCAATTTTTGTAATTTTGGTTCTGTGGCTGGCGGGCATGGAAGTGTTCCATCAATGTAGGAAACAAGATCATATCCAAGAAAAAAGTATCTCATGTTGTGTTTTCCATGTTAGGAAATTGCTGCTACCAGTCAACTTTATTGGAAGTTGAAAGGTTGGGTTGATTGTGACAAACTGGTTAGCCTGAGCGATTGGATTAATAGCACCATAAGAAGGAAGAATAGATGAACTAGAATTAGTAGATGAAGTTGGCACAATTGGGGTGGTTACTAAACTTGAATTGATAGTCATGGTAGCGAAGGGAAGTTCAATAACACCAGCAAAGGAAAGGATCGGAAAAAAGGAATCGTTAGAGCGTAAAGGCTCTGATACCATAAAGAGGTTCAAGAGTGAGTTTACAGAGAACTACATCATCTATTCCATGGAGGAGCAAGGTTTCTCAGGTACAAAAGGAAAGAAGGATCCTGAAGGATCACCAATCAAAGATATACATAAGAAAATAAGGATTGTAATCAGAAAAAATAAATTACAGAATAATTAAAAAAGATTATAGTGAATCAAATATAAAAAAAGATTATGTTGCCTTATTAACCAAAACCAGCAAGGTTTACAAAATCCAATACCTATTTGGACTTTGAACAAAAAAACATAATTTGGGCTCTGTTTCGCAGTAAAAATGAGGGTCATTTACGAAGAAAGTACCCCTAGCTAGTGTTTTCGTTTGGAATAAAGGAGAAAATTAAGCGGTACGGAATATGAGTTTATATTAATTAGTAGTAATAACTGCATGTTTTTTGTTTTGATTTTTTTAATAAAAAAATTAGCATGAGACAAAAAATCTATGTTAAAGAATTTGAGACGTCTTCTTTTGTAAATTCCTTTAAATGGAATTTTTTTATTGTGCACTATTTAATAATCATTATGCACAATTCATTAGTAACCTAATTTATATTTGTTTTGTTTGTATTATAAAATCGGCTCTGATTACTTCTTTGGTACTATTGTAGTTTCTTATAGAAAAAGAAGTTGACAATGGCATATATTTTACTAAAATGAAGTTTTTGTTATAATGCCCTAAATTTGTCCTTTTTGTGGATTGCAAAATAAACTTTTGTTTCTAACTTTACATCCCCCCCCCCCCCACACACACAACCCACCCACCCTATTTTTTCTTAATATTGTGATAGATAATTGGAGTTGCAACAATATTAACAAAATGTTGAATTGTGCGACCAATCCGCTTACAAGCAAAAAGCTTTCCGTTACGAACTTGATCTTTTTCATGAGCTAAACAAATTGAATGTTTTCGATAGAGTATGAATTTAATTTAAAACTTCAAACTAGAACCTATTCTTGCTTTGGTAGCACATTCTATTGAATTACATAACCAACATAGAGAATCGGCAGCCATTTAACTATAAAAGACAAGTCATTATTGAATTGCATATAGAACTGTTTTACATTATTAATCAATATAGCGAATTAATTATAGATAATAATGTCAGCTAGGAACAGAATTATAATTGTAAAGTGTCATCATATTTAACTCAAAAAACTTACACCTAATACTCACTTTTTTTCTTCTTTTCAAATACTTCACTATTGGAGCATGCACGAAAGGAATGGTAATTCCCATGTGTGTGATCAAAGCCAAATTCTGTATATAAAGATACTAGTTTAACTAAAATACATTGCTATCTTCACTTTCTTCCTTTATTCTAAAACCTCCAGTTTTTTTTCCCAATTCTCAATCAAATCACACCCTTGTAATTACCAAAAATTCCATATCG